CGGCACTTGACGACCTGATGGCCAAGTGCGCGCTGGACCTGCAGCAGGCATATCTGGCCTCACGCGAGTGGGGCGTCAGCACTGTCTTGACCATGCGGGGTCGAGACAAGTTGCGTCGCTTGAGCGACACGACCTTTGCCATTGCGGTCGTGTCCATGATGGGTTTTGGCCTCCATGAACTCATCAACGTCAAGCCGACGGACAAGTGCCCGCTTTGCAGCAGCAAGACACCTCAGCCGCGACTAACCCGCGAGCACCTGCTGACCTGCCGTCCCATCAAGCGACACAACGCCCTTCGCGACGAGATGGGCCGCCTGCTCAGGTACGCCACCCTCTCCCATGTCTGGGTGGAAAAGTCTGGCTACAACGCCAACGGTCAGAGCTGCCGCATCGACCTGCACTGCCGCAACCCCTTTCCCGGCGGTGCTCTGGGCCCAGCTCTACCCGACCTGGGCATTGACGTGACTGTGCGCACAGCCCAACCCCCGACCACCTCGCAAGCCTGCATCAAGGTGGGCGCTGCCCTTCGCCGAGCCGAAAAGGAGAAGCGCGACTACTACACCGGTTTCAACCATGGAAAAACTCTGATCGTCCCTGCGGCGATGACGACAACCGGTGGGTTCGCCTCCTCCTTTGTGGATCTGCTTGGTCAGCTCGCCCGCTGCGCCGAGGCCCGTGGTGTGTATCAGCCGGGGCTAGATGAGGCCTTTGTTCCTCGGTGGAAGGGTCGCTTTGCGGCGCTGGTCCATCAGATGAACGCTGACCACATCCAGCGCCACTTTGGCGGTGTCTGCCTGCGCTCGTCGTAGGTAGGCACCGCCTCGGGGGTCCCTCTGTGGGGATCCCTGTGTGCACCTGTCGCTCCCTAGGTGGTTTTCGTTGTGGTCTTTTGATGGCTTGACTTGTATTTTTGTTTAATTTTGCTTCAATTTTTGCTGTATTTGTGTGGTATTTTTGCTGAATGTTTGTGTAAAGTCCTTTGTATGATGACTTTTCTTTCTGTGGTCGGTTGCCTTTTCAACCCGACGCTGTCTCTTGTTTGATGTGAGCGTGCCGTGGTGTTCTTTATGTTCGTGCTGTGATGGCTAGTAGTTGTGATATGTGTGACTCCCTTTTTGTGTGACTTGTGGTTAAAATGGCCGTATCTCTGGTTATACCTGGTCGTTTTGTACGATTTTTGTTTCCTTGTGCGTGATTCTTCGCGCTTGTACTCCTCGGCATGATAGGAGCCGATGAAAATGTCTTGTTCTCTTGTGTTGTTTTGCGTGCCGTCGTGATTTTGATGTCGGGGTTGCACAGCTTTGCTTTCAGCTCTGAGGTTCAAACACCTAATTTATTATCAGGATTGAGTAGATAAGGCCTCGCCCGATCAGGCTCGTTCGAAACAGGCCTGGGTCGACCAGCCTCGCCCTCTCGAGACCCTAGTAGATCAGGCCCGTATCAATCAGGCCCACACAGATCAGGTCCGCACCGATCAGGCTCGTTCGGAACAGGCCCGGGTCGACCAGCCTCGCCCTCTCGAGACCTGAGTAGATCAGCCCCGCCCTCTCGAGACCTGCAAAGATCAGGCCCGTATCAATCAGGCCCACACAGATTAGGCCCGCACTGATCAGGATTGAGTAGATAAGGCCTCGCCCGATCAGGCTCGTTCGAAACAGGCCTGGGTCGACCAGCCTCGCCCTCTCGAGACCCTAGTAGATCAGGCCCGTATCAATCAGGCCCACACAGATCAGGCCCACACCGATCAGGA